CCATCCCTTGTACATGGTACAAAGACGTGTCTATCTCTGCTGGGTGAAGAGGATCAGAGGCAATCGGTACCATGAGCCTGGCTCCATACCGTTCTCAAGAAATGCTGTTATTAATGTTACAGTTGATCATTTGATTTCCAACCTGCTTCACAACACCATTGTAATCTAAGGTCACACTTTATTGCTTAATAGCTTAGCTGTTCGCCTTTTGTGAACAGTGTGGAACCAGGAGTCCTGTATATAGTGTGTGTTTGTTTCAGCAAGGAAGTGAGTCTGTTAGAAATGCCCAACTACAGGTGTTAATTCTACTGGACTTTTGCTTTGGAAAAGTATCTTGTTGGATTACCACACAAGGCTGGGCATTGCTGATAGCGTCACTGAATAATCATGTTTCTCACTCTAATCACAGACTCAAATATTTGCCAGTGTGAGGTGTGACCGAGGAAGCCCTGAGTGTGTAGACTAGGAAGGCCAAGCTATGAGTGTGTGACAATGCAACAAATTAAGATATATTTTGAAGTCTTGTATGAGCATTGGCCTCTTTATTTTAATACTTGTGTGCATCTATAATACGGCATCCAAAAAGTGCATGAGTCTCATTGGCTTAGTGTAGACTCGTGCCCCTACTCCCTGCTCAAATCTTCTCACTATAGCATTTTGTCAATGAGCACTGCACAAATATTGCTTTACACTTGTCAATTTTGGGTCTTGCTAGGGAGAGCCATCACTTCCCAGTTAGACTAGATTCTTTGGTAGTCTTTTTGCAAATAATAAAACAAAACAAAAAACATTCACAACTAAAAACAAACAACATTGAGTGCTTTGTGCAATATGTGTTCATGGCTACAAATCCTATTATGCATAGCAGAAATATATCCTGGGGTAGGGGGCAACTATTACCTTGACCTCACCTGACCTCACCTCTCAGTGTTGCCGAGGTCACTGACCTGGGAATCACAGTACAAAGTCTGTGTGTTGAGCATGGTGGTCAGCAGTAAGAGCTAGTTGGAAGCAGGAAGACTGTGTTGTCCGGTATATTTTGGAGATTAAATAGATGGAAATGGCATTTATTTCTTGTTTTTAATTTTTTAATTTTTAGATTTGGCCTGCATTTGTTCAGTGATCATATCCAACCTTATCTTAACATGTAGTACCCCCTCAAAGAAATCATGCCCAAAACAGCCTAGATCTTTAAATCATGCCTCTTGCCCTTACCAGTCCTCCTGCTATCCCCTGGCCTGCTGATGAAAGAAGGTATGACAGAGCCACGTACGACTAACAAGCAGGCCTTGTGTTTTATCACAAGATATTTTTTTCTTTCTTTTCCAAGTCATTTAGTGGAAGAGCGTTTTGTTTGAATTTTGGCATGAGTGTTCCGGTACGGCTGACACTAGTAGTTTGATAACTACAAACATGATGCTGTTTTTTTCCATTCATTTCACCTAGATTTTATTCACTTTATTATTAGTATTAGCATTTATCACCCATATCTGATGTGTACATGAACTCCAAACGGGCTCATTATGAAGTGTGTGTTGCGTGAGTTTTTATTCAGAAATATATTATAGGAAGGTACAAAAGTGCGTGTCCTGTCAGGTGACCAGAGTGAGTTATGTGTGACCAAAACACCAAAGGTGTATCTAAACTTTTTGGTTGGTGAAACTCATCTGTAGATCAGAGCATGGAGTAAATCTAAAAGAAAGCTCACTTTACCTGTAATTACCTATTCATTCCGAGTCGGTGCTCCATGTATTTGCTCGCAGAGAGGTAGATTATACTACCAACTCCCTAATTTGAAAAGTGTTGTCATCTTCTTGTAATAAATACTAATACCTTGAAGAGGCACGTCACTTGGCAATATGGCAAGGTTAGGAAGGACCCAGTAGTTAGAATCACCAAGAGAGCAGTCTTTCTGCTCTGAACTAGAGGCTGATGCGAGATGGAAAGTGTGACCTAACATCTGTATGTATTGCTAGCTAGGAGAATGAACATTATGTGAACTTGAGAATGATACATTGGATATGTAAGATCTTGTGGGTCTTTACTGTGAAGATGTTCAGAAGGTGATGTGTGAAGAGGAGTGAGATACAGGTGGAGACTGAAGAGATGTGATGAGATAAATGTGGCTGCTGTTGTGGATTCGAGGCTTCACCTTCCACAGGTATCCTTTGGAATGTGTTGCCCTGAGTCTATCACTGCAGCCTTGATGGTGAGCTAGAGCTTGGTGTGCTCTCTACTGTTGTCCTTTTGGGCGTGATTGTGAATGATTGTATGGCTAGAGTGCTCTGTCGAATAATAAAAAAATCACAGCTAAATATTGTGTTCTTAACCCAAAGACCAAAACTAGCCCTTTTTAGATTTGCTTTCTTATTTATTGTAATTATTTTATTACTACTATTGTATAGGCATGTGGTGAGATTATTAACAAGGCTATATTAACTTCCGTTTTAGTACCGTCAAGTGAAAGGTGAAGGAATCGATTACAGTTGTAAAAGGTAAAAAAAAGAAAGAAATAAGAATGAACTAGATTTATTATTCCTGTATAACAGCTCAGCAACTGAAATGCTCAAGACAAAATGTAGGTTAACCATTAAAAATAGTGGGTAGAAGTCCTTGAGTGTTCATTTGCATATTACGTCAGTCATGTCTTTAAATACAGGAAAAAGATAGAGGGAGAGAAGTATTAAGATGTAGCTGTTTCCGTATGTATGATTTAATTTTGTGAGCAATAGTGTCAGATTGATGATCGTGGTGGAGGAACGGCTGGAGACGATGCTTTGATTTAAATCCTTGGTTCGTATACTGTCCATAATTTACTTTATTTGCACTCCATTCCAAGTTCATGGCCTTTTTTAAAACTCGGGTCTGACAAAATGGAGGTGCACGAAACCACTTGCATTAGCAATAAATTTGCATCCTTAAGTATTATAATTTCAGCTAACAGATGGTTGACAAAGATATCATCCGAGTTAAAGACCTTGTGCTTTAATTAATAGTATTATTTTGCCATAAATTGAGCTATCAAGAGCTTTCGTATCGCAATACTAAATTTCACACCATTTTACACAGTTGAAAGGCAATTCATAATGAAGTCAGCTACAAGTTGACATTTATTTCAGACTGGCTAGCTTCAGTTTTTTCTTCATTGGTCACTTAACGAATTGGAACAGTAAGTAAGTCTGGATCCAAGTTATACTTAGTTGGTAACTATAACAAAAGCAAAATGTATTTCAAAACAGCAGATCTCAACAAGGGAGTTCAAAGTTTATTAAGGTAAGTATTCTTTTTGATGTTTCAAAACAAGATTTATTCTTGATAAACATGAACCAAGGAATTTCATTTCCACAGGCTTGGATTTTTAAAATCACATCTAGTTCTCCCTTAATATATAATAAGACTTGCAGTTTAAAATCACTTGATTATATTTATATATGCATTTTTAAACTTTGATCTTGTAAGCATTGAAGGCGACATTAAGAACTAAAGTCCTTAATATGCATAGAACAGGCATTGTTAAAAGGGAGGGGGTTATGCACTGCACTACAAAATTATTTGGATAAAAATGAAGATGGCCATATGTAAATTTTCACTTCAGACAAAATTGAAAAGAGCAATTGAATAATTACAAACGTCCAGTGAAAGTGGCAGGTACACATCATTTTTATTACCAAATACTATTTTGAGTGCCATCGCAATTAATTAATAGTTCCTGAGACTACATAATTATGGGAAATTAGAACATTTCTTCCATGTGCGAGTGTATTTTCGATCTTTATATTTTTGCATGCTATTAGTTGTAACACAGTGCTGATGCTGTAAAGGTATAGATTGTCCGCTAATTACCTCCCTTATAATATAAGTGACTATGATATTTTATTAATAAAAATATATACATCTTCATGTGATGCTTCATTTTCTTCCTAATATAAAATAAGGAGTAAGAAGTTATGTCAAATGGTTGTCACAAGGCAGACACTTTGTGACAGACACAAATTCTATTTTGACACAGGCTGATGAGGATAGTTAAATTGCATAGATACAAGGGTCCCTTTTAAAAGAGAAAAAAAATGCCGCCTCATGCTGTTATGCGCTTAATTTTAGTTTAGTTGACTCGGACTGTTAAGGAGTGTCCTGGTGGTAAGCAATGTCAAATTACATGTCACCGTCAAAACCAAATTTGGGCGACAAAACTACAATGCGAAGTTAACAATTCACACAGCTTTTATTTAAGTTTGTCTACCTACATGAGAAAAAGTTGAAAATTTTTTTGTTTTATCGTTAATCGGTCCCCTTTATATCGTCTCCCATTTCAGATAAATTTCTTATGGATAACAGGAGGTTGACATCCATCCTTATTGAATCCACAAAATCACAAGTAATTATTGTATTGCTCGCTCTCTACACCCTTTTATTAAGCAATATAGTATCTCCTTTGTTAACTCATTTCAATGTAATATATTTTTTAAACTGAAAAACGAAGTAAATGGTGATGCTTTTAGTTGTTAACCTATTGCCTCCGGGATGGCATGTACGTACATGCCATGCCCACTGCGAGTCGACTTGTTTGATTGTTCCTACACATATATGGCTACACTTATACAAGTCGCCAATTACGAGTATTGCCTGTCTCGCCCGTTCGCCCTTTTCATCGATTTACGAAAATCTTTAACGTTATCCTAATTTGCTTAAAAATAACACCATCTATTTTAATAGCACTGGTAAGAATACTTTTTTTCCCGCCAACTCAAGGGAAGTTGAAATCAGGACTTGCAGAGCCATCTATGGACCGAGATGTTTCACAAAAATATAAAAAATGATTACAGTATTTTCCCCATTTTTGGTTCATTTTCCCTGGCGGCAATGGGTTAATTGAGGAATTATGTACTGGAGAGCCATACCAACTATCTGAAGAAGTCGTCTATATAAAGAAATCCAATCCTTAAAACGTAATCGCATTGACGCAGTGATGTCACACAGTAGGTAACAAAAAAACTAACGGATTCAGTAATAAAGATTTAATAGATATCTTGTCATCCACAATGCTGTCCTCCGATTCGCCAACTGCTTCAGTATGGCTTGAATTTTCTTGACGTCCTCATTTGAGTTATCCTCTTCTTATCTTCCTCGAATTTCTTCCGAAGTTGTGCAAGATCTGGAGAGAGAGAGGTTGGGGGGGGGGGTATACATTATGAAATTTTAAGATTATATATACACTGGTATTCTTCCAATTAGTATAGTGTTTAGGTTATCTTCCGTATGGAGTTCATTCCACTACTTACGGTCCATTTTTGTCTGTCTGTCCTGGAAACTGTAGAAGTTGACCAACTTTTGCTGCTTTTTCTTCTTTCGATTCCTCTTCTGTTTCAATTCGTCAACTTTAACTTGTCGAGGCTTCTTTTTCCTAAGGAGGAAAGCAAATGTGTAACAAAAATATTGCGGTTGCATTTTCAAGTAAATATATGATACAAGTATAGAGGCATATAACGTAAACAATGCATTATAAGATTTTTTTTTTTTTTCCTACTTACGTATTGACAACAGTAACCCAACCGTCCTCGTCTGGCTCTGTGTTTCCATTTTTCTCGGTTTCTTTTCTTCTGTCGAAATCTTCCATTACACTTTTGATTTCTTCAGCCATTACTGTTTTACTTATAAATGAGTTGTTATACATAGCACACCACTCTGCAATAAAGGGTGCCATACATGAGAAACTAGGAGATAGAGGGGGGGGGGGGGGGCAGAAAGTAAAGGAGGTAGTTGAAGGAAGGGGAAGGAGGAAGGGAGAGGGGGAGGGGGGAAGGAAGGAAGAAGGGAGAGGGGGAGGGGGAAGGAAGGAAGAAGGGAGAGGGGGAGGGGGAAGGAAGGAAGAAGGGAGAGGGGGGAGGGGGAAGGAAGGAAGAAGGGAGAGGGGGAGGGGGAAGGAAGGAAGAAGGGAGAGGGGGAGGGGGAAGGAAGGAAGAAGGGAGAGGGGGAGGGGGAAGGAAGGAAGAAGGGAGAGGGGGAGGGGGAAGGAAGGAAGAAGGGAGAGGGGGAGGGGGAAGGAAGGAAGAAGGGAGAGGGGGAGGGGGAAGGAAGGAAGAAGGGAGAGGGGGAGGGGGAAGGAAGGAAGGAAGAAGGGAGAGGGGGAGGGGGAAGGAAGGAAGAAGGGAGAGGGGGAGGGGGAAGGAAGGAAGAAGGGAGAGGGGGAGGGGGAAGGAAGGAAGAAGGGAGAGGGGGAGGGGGAAGGAAGGAAGAAGGGAGAGGGGGAGGGGGAAGGAAGGAAGAAGGGAGAGGGGGAGGGGGAAGGAAGGAAGAAGGGAGAGGGGGAGGGGGAAGGAAGGAAGAAGGGAGAGGGGGAGGGGAAGGAAGGAAGAAGGGAGAGGGGGAGGGGGAAGGAAGGAAGAAGGGAGAGGGGGAGGGGGAAGGAAGGAAGAAGGGAGAGGGGGAGGGGGAAGGAAGGAAGAAGGGAGAGGGGGAGGGGGAAGGAAGGAAGAAGGGAGAGGGGGAGGGGGAAGGAAGGAAGAAGGGAGAGGGGGAGGGGGAAGGAAGGAAGAAGGGAGAGGGGGAGGGGGAAGGAAGGAAGAAGGGAGAGGGGGAGGGGGAAGGAAGGAAGAAGGGAGAGGGGGAAGGAAGGAAGAAGGGAGAGGGGGAAGGAAGAAGGAGAGGGGGAAGGAAGGAGAGAGGGAGAGGGGAAGGAAGGAAGAAGGGAGAGGGGGAGGGGAAGGAAGGAAGAGAGGGAGAGGGGAAGGAAGGAAGAAGGGAGAGGGGGAGGGGGAAGGAAGAAGGGAGAGGGGGAGGGGGAAGGAAGGAAGAAGGGAGAGGGGGAGGGAAGGAAGGAAGAAGGGAGAGGGGAGGGGGAAGGAAGGAAGAAGGGAGAGGGGAGGGGGGAAGGAAGGAAGGGAGAGGGGGAGGGGGAAGGAAGAGAAGGGAGAGGGGAGGGGGAAGGAAGGAAGGAAGGGAGAGGGGGAAGGAAGGAAGAAGGGAGAGGGGGAGGGGAAGGAAGGAAGAAGGGAGAGGGGGAGGGGGAAGGAAGGAAGGAAGGGAGAGGGGGGAAGGAAGGAAGAAGGGAGAGGGGGAGGGGGAAAGAAGGAGGAGGGGAGGGGGAAGGAAGAAGAAGGGAGAGGGGGAGGGGGAAGGAAGGAAGAAGGGAGAGGGGGAGGGGGGAAGGAAGGAAGAGGAGAGGGGGAGGGGGAAGGAAGGGAGAGGGGAGGAAGGAAGGGAGAGGGGGAAGGAAGGAAGGGAGAGGGGGAAGGAAGGAAGGAAGAAGGGAGAGGGGGAAGGAAGGAAGAAGGGAGAGGGGGAGGGGGAAGGAAGGAAGAAGGGAGAGGGGGAGGGGGAAGGAAGGAAGAAGGGAGAGGGGGAAGGAAGGAAGAAGGGAGAGGGGGAGGGGGAAGGAAGGAAGAAGGGAGAGGGGGAGGGGGAAGGAAGGAAGAAGGGAGAGGGGGAGGGGGGAAGGAAGAAGGGAGAGGGGGAGGGGGAAGGAAGGAAGAAGGGAGAGGGGGAGGGGGAAGGAAGGAAGAAGGGAGAGGGGGAAGGAAGGAAGGAAGAAGGGAGAGGGGGAAGGAAGGAAGAGGGAGAGGGGGAAGGAAGGAAGAAGGGAGAGGGGGAGGGGAAGGAAGAAGGGAGAGGGGGAGGGGAAGGAAGAAGGGAGAGGGGGAGGGGGAAGGAAGGAAGAAGGGAGAGGGGGAGGGGGAAGGAAGGAAGAAGGGAGAGGGGGAGGGGAAGGAAGGAAGGGAGAGGGGGAAGGAAGGAAGGGAGAGGGGAGAGGGGAAGGAAGGAAGGGAGAGGGGAAGGAAGGAAGGGAGAGGGGGAGGGGAAGGAAGGAAGAAGGGAGAGGGGGAAGGAAGGAAGAAGGGAGAGGGGGAGGGGGAAGGAAGGAAGAAGGGAGAGGGGGAGGGGAAGGAAGGGAGAGGGGGAGGGGGAAGGAAGGAAGGAGAGGGAGAGGGGGAAGGAAGGAAGGAAGAAGGGAGAGGGGGAAGGAAGGAAGAAGGGAGAGGGGGAGGGGAAGGAAGGAAGAAGGGAGAGGGGGAAGGAAGGAAGAAGGGAGAGGGGAGGGGAAGGAAGAAGAAGGGAGAGGGGGAGGGGAAGGAAGGAAGGGAGAGGGGAGGGGGAAGAAGGAAGAAGGGAGAGGGGGAGGGGAAGGAAGGAAGAAGGGAGAGGGGGAGGGGGAAGGAAGGAAGAAGGGAGAGGGGGAGGGGGAAGGAAGGAAGAAGGGAGAGGGGGAGGGGGAAGGAAGGAAGGGAGAGGGGGAGGGGGAAGGAAGGAAGAAGGGAGAGGGGGAGGGGGAAGGAAGGAAGAAGGGAGAGGGAGGGGAAGGAAGGAAGGAAGAAGGGAGAGGGGGAAGGAAGGAAGAAGGGAGAGGGGAGGGGGAAGGAAGGAAGAAGGGAGAGGGGGAGGGGGAAGGAAGGAAGAAGGGAGAGGGGAGGGGAAGGAAGGAAGAAGGGAGAGGGGGAGGGGGAAGGAAGGAAGAAGGGAGAGGGGGAGGGGGAAGGAAGGAAGAAGGGAGAGGGGGAGGGGGAAGGAAGGAAGAAGGGAGAGGGGGAGGGGGAAGGAAGGAAGAAGGGAGAGGGGGAGGGGAAGGAAGGAAGAAGGGAGAGGGGGAGGGGGAAGGAAGGAAGAAGGGAGAGGGGGAGGGGAAGGAAGGAAGAAGGGAGAGGGGGAGGGGGAAGGAAGGAAGGGAGAGGGGGAGGGGGAAGGAAGAAGGAAGGAGAGGGGGAGGGGGAAGGAAGGAAGAAGGAGAGGGGGAGGGGGAAGGAAGGAAGAAGGGAGAGGGGGAGGGGGAAGGAAGAAGGGAGAGGGGGAGGGGGAAGGAAGGAAGGAAGAAGGGAGAGGGGAAGGAGGGAAGGAAGGAAGAAGGAAGAGGGAGAGGGGGAAGGAAGGAAGAAGGGAGAGGGGGAGGGGGAAGGAAGGAAGAAGGGGAGGGGGAAGGAAGGAAGAAGGGAGAGGGGGAGGGGGAAGGAAGGAAGGAAGAAGGGAGAGGGGGAAGGAAGGAAGGAAGAAGGGAGAGGGGGAGGGAAGGAAGGAAGAAGGGAGAGGGGGAAGGAAGGAAGGAAGAAGGGAGAGGGGGAAGGAAGGAAGAAGGGAGAGGGGGAGGGGGAAGGAAGGAAGAAGGGAGAGGGGGAGGGGGAAGGAAGGAAGAAGGGAGAGGGGGAGGGGGAAGGAAGGAAGAAGGGAGAGGGGGAAGGAAGGAAGAAGGGAGAGGGGGAAGGAAGGAAGAAGGGAGGGGGGAAGGAAGGAAGAAGGGAGAGGGGGAAGGAAGGAAGAAGGGAGAGGGGGAAGGAAGGAAGAAGAAGGGGAGGGGGAAGGAAGGAAGAAGGGAGAGGGGGAGGGAAGGAAGAAGGGAGAGGGGGAGGGAAGGAAGAAGGAGAGGGGGAGGGGGAAGGAAGGAAGAAGGGAGAGGGGGAGGGGGAAGGAAGAAGGAGAGGGGGAGGGGGAAGGAAGAAGGGAGAGGGGGAGGGGGGAAGGAAGAAGGGAGAGGGGGAGGGGGAAGGAAGGAAGAAGGGAGAGGGGGAGGGGGAAGGAAGGAAGAAGGGAGAGGGGGAGGGGGAAGGAAGGAAGAAGGGAGAGGGGGAGGGGGAAGGAAGGAAGAAGGGAGAGGGGGAGGGGGGGAAGGAAGAAGGGAGAGGGGGAGGGGGGAAGGAAGAAGGGAGAGGGGGAGGGGGAAGGAAGGAAGAAGGGGGAGGGGGAAGGAAGGAAGGAAGAAGGGAGAGGGGGAGGGGGAAGGAAGGAGGAAGGAAGAGGGGGAGGGGGAAGGAAGGAAGGAAGAAGGGAGAGGGGGAAGGAAGGAAGAAGGGAGAGGGGGAGGGGGAAGGAAGGAAGGGAGAGGGGGAGGGGGAAGGAAGAAGGGAGAGGGGGAGGGGGAAGGAAGAAGGGAGAGGGGGAGGGGAAGGAAGGGAGAGGGGGAGGGGAAGGAAGGAAGAAGGGAGAGGGGGAAGGAAGGAAGGAAGGGAGAGGGGGAGGGGGAAGGAAGGAAGGAAGGGAGAGGGGGAAGGAAGGAAGGAAGGGAGAGGGGGAGGGGGAAGGAAGGAAGGAAGGGAGAGGGGGAAGGAAGGAAGGGAGAGGGGGAAGGAAGGAAGGGAGAGGGGAAGGGAGAGGGAGAGGGGGAAGGAAGGAAGGGAGAGGGAGGGGGAAGGAAGGAAGGAAGGAAGAAGGGAGAGGGAGAGGGGGAAGGAAGGGAGAGGGGGAAGGAAGGAAGGAAGGAAGGGAGAGGGGGAAGGAAGGAAGGAAGGGAGAGGGGGAAGGAAGGAAGGGAGAGGGGGAGGGGGAAGGAAGGAAGAAGGGAGAGGGAGAGGGGGAAGGAAGGAAGGAAGGGAGAGGGGGAAGGAAGGAAGGAAGGAAGGAAGGGAGAGGGGGAAGGAAGGAAGGGAGAGGGGGGAGGGGGAAGGAAGGGAGAGGGGGAGGGGGAAGGAAGGGAGAGGGAGAAGGAAGGAAGGGAGAGGGGGAGGGGGAAGGAAGGAAGGAAGAAGGGAGAGGGGGAAGGAAGGAAGAAGGGAGAGGGGGAGGGGGAAGGAAGGAAGAAGGGAGAGGGGGAGGGGGAAGGAAGGAAGGGAGAGGGGGAGGGGGAAGGAAGGAAGAAGGGAGAGGGGGAAGGAAGGAAGGAAGAAGGGAGAGGGGGAAGGAAGGAAGAAGGGAGAGGGGGAGGGGGAAGGAAGGAAGAAGGGAGAGGGGGAGGGGGAAGGAAGGAAGGGAGAGGGGGAGGGGGAAGGAAGGAAGAAGGGAGAGGGGGAGGGGAAGGAAGGAAGAAGGGAGAGGGAAGGAAGAAGGGAGAGGGGGAGGGGAAGGAAGGAAGAGGGGGAGGGGGAAGGAAGGAAGAAGGGGGAGGGGGAAGGAAGAAGGGAGAGGGGGAAGGAAGGGAGAGGGGGAAGGAAGGAAGGAAGAAGGGAGAGGGGGAAGGAAGGAAGGGAGAGGGGGAGGGGGAAGGAAGGAAGGGAGAGGGGGAGGGGGAAGGAAGAAGGGAGAGGGGGAAGGAAGAAGGGAGAGGGGGAGGGGAAGGAAGAAGGGAGAGGGGGAGGGGAAGGAAGGAAGAAGGGAGAGGGGGAGGGGAAGGAAGAAGGGAGAGGGGGAAGGAAGAAGGGAGAGGGGGAGGGGGAAGGAAGGAAGAAGGGAGAGGGGGAGGGGGAAGGAAGGAAGAAGGGAGAGGGGGAGGGAGAAGGAAGGAAGGAAGAGGGAGAGGGGGAGGGAGAAGGAAGGAAGAGGGAGAGGGGGAGGGAGAAGGAAGGAAGAGGGAGAGGGGGAGGGAGAAGGAAGGAAGGGAGAGGGGAAGGAAGGAAGGGAGAGGGGGAAGGAAGGAAGGGAGAGGGGGAGGGGGAAGGAAGGAAGGAAGAAGGGAGAGGGGGAGGGGGAAGGAAGGAAGAAGGGAGAGGGGGAAGGAAGGAAGAAGGGAGAGGGGGAGGGGGAAGGAAGGAAGAAGGGAGAGGGGGAGGGGGAAGGAAGGAAGGGAGAGGGGGAGGGGGAAGGAAGAAGAAGGAGAGGGGAGGGGGAAGGAAGGAGAGGGGGAGGGGGAAGGAAGGAAGAAGGGAGAGGGGGAGGGGGAAGGAAGGAAGAAGGGAGAGGGGGAGGGGGAAGGAAGAAGGGAGAGGGGGAGGGGGAAGGAAGAAGGGAGAGGGGGAAGGAAGAAGGGAGAGGGGGAGGGGAAGGAAGGAAGAAGGGAGGGGGGAAGGAAGAAGGGAGAGGGGGAGGGGGAAGAAGGGAGAGGGGGAGGGGGAAGGAAGGAAGAGGGGGAGGGGGAAGGAAGGAAGGGAGAGGGGGAGGGGGAAGGAAGAGGGGGAGGGGGAAGGAAGGAAGGGAGAGGGGGAGGGGGAAGGAAGGGAGAGGGGGAAGGAAGGAAGGAAGAAGGGAGAGGGGGAAGAAGGGAGAGGGGAGGGGGAAGGAAGGAAGAAGGGAGAGGGGAGGGAGAAGGAAGGAAGGGAGAGGGGAGGGGGAAGAAGGGAGAGGGGAAGGAAGGAAGAAGGGAGAGGGGAGGGGGAAGGAAGAAGGGAGAGGGGAGGGAGAAGGAAGGAAGGGAGAGGGGAGGGGGAAGGAAGGAAGGAGGGAAAGGGG